CGGACACATCAATTAATATGTTCCATCGACTCGAGTCCAAGCATGCAAACTATGATTAGCTTGACGGTTGGTGGTGTAATCTTGTTCGGTTGATTTCTCCGCTCCTCCCACGTTCACCTTGCTTGTTTCGTGCACCCATTGCACGCGGCCTGGGGCCATCATCACCTCGGCGGGGGCGGCGTTGAGCCACGCCGGCAGGCTCCAGCTCCTCCTCATGCTTTTCGTCCTGCTCGCTGGTGCCTCACAGGGTGCTGTGCCGGCGGTGTAGACAGGCACTGCCACCTGGTTGGGGCCACCGGACAGCGCCCGTTACGACTGTGAGTTCCATCATCATATACTCCCATATACATCGTCACCGTACCACTAGAGATGAACACATACCAACATGTGGTTGGATGATTAGAGGGACTGTGGTATCCCCAGCCCACCAGGGTTCAAATCCTGATGCTTGCATTTATTCCTGGAGTTATTTCAGGGTTTCCGGCGATGCACATTCAATGGGAGGAGACGTTCCCGTCGACGACGAGGCGCCTACGGTGACTTCGTAAATTTCAAGATGATATGCCGTCTCAGTCTTTCGGAGGTGCTCATAGGGATAGGATGCGCGTGTGTGCGTTCATAGAGGTGAGTGTATGCGCGTGTATATAAGCGCTTGTGTCTGTACTGATGTTAAAAAAAAAGAGATCAATACGTACTGTTGGTAGCGCGTCACGTACTATATGCTGGTGGCTAGGATCTCTCAAGAGATGATTCATTGAAAAAAGTAAATCACATCTGAAATGTAGAGGCAAAATTGGTGGCTAGGATTTCTCAAGAGAGCTACACTTTCTTCCTAGAATTTTAGGACCAATGTATATCCATCTTCCGTTTCTAACCTTGCAACTAAGACTGTATGGTGCTTTTCTTTGGAAAAACTTTTCCTAACATTCACCAAAATATTTACATTTTAGTTGATTTCGTTGCTTTCTTAACTACTATCAACTACTCCATCCGTCCCAAAATATAAGAACGTTTTTGATGTTCTTATATTATGGGACGGAGGGAGTACTAAATAGCTGAGGAAGAATAAAAAAGCATGACCCTAGAATCTCGACAAAGTAGAGCTACAAAATTAACTGCAACCAATTTGGATTTCCGATTGCTGAAAGCTGGATAGATGAAGAATCTTTAAAGTTGCTTACTTTGCCATGTGTGGTTGCCTGTTGGGCCATTGTTGGGCTGCTGTGCGCTCTCCCAGGCTGAGCTGGGCTGTGTGTGGGTGCAGATGATTTGCGAGAGAGGTGTGAATACGGTGTTTTTAGTCATGAAAGTAAGAGTTCAAATTATGAAGCTCACAACTTAGTGAAGCATGCTTTATCTCTTGGTGTTAGCCGTCATGTATGGTTAGGCCATCCGGGAAATCTACCATCCGTCCCTATAAACATTGTGACGAATTAATAAAAAGCTTCGTGAGGTTGTCCCCAAAAAAATAGAAACATGCATTGTATTAAAGTTAGTGTAAAATTGGATCATCTATTATGAAACGAAAGGAGTACAATGTATTTCACGTATTGGTCTCGTGCTGCCACACCCATTCAGACCTACA